AAGGTAATAAAATGAAACTGCTTATAGAACACGAAAGTGCGACCAAAGAGTTTTATTTAGAAATGCTGTACTCGCCGCGTTGATGTCTGGGAGAAAATATGACGTCATGACTCAAAATGGCGACTCTTCAAGAAAAAGCAGAGGACGTATTATGGTTTCTCGACACAAAGTTCGTAATCAAAACACAACGTCGTTACAGCACTCAGTATGGGAAAGATACACCTTCAGATAATGCTATCCGAAGTTGGTTAAAGCAATTTCAAGAGACTTGTAGGGTTCTGCACCGAAAAGGAGCGGGAAGACCGAGCAGTTCGCAGGAAGAAGTTGAGCGAATCCAGGAAGCTAAGAAAGGCGCTCATGTTGTAGCTGTAAAGTAGCATCTCCCATTGTCTGGTGATAAAACGGACGAGAAGGCAGCTTGCAGAATGTGTGCAATCCGTGCCACTTCGCCAGTTAGTAGTATAGGCCATAACGTCACTAAAAATTACTAGATTGCGTTTTCAGCATTCTTCCAGTATTCATATGCCGGTGTCAAATTCAACAATACTGGATTAATGCTTTTCTCGCTAGGTGACAGTGTCTATGTGTGTGTGTGTCTGGGGGGAGGGGGCTGATGTATGCACTATGCTCCGAAGGCTAAAAAAGCCTCTGCAAGGCGTCTGTTACTTCATAAACAGAATTCCTAAATTTATTTTGAAAAAATTAAAAAAGAAAAAGAAGATATAGGTAAAGTTGTTCCTGTGCTTAACTATTAAGCACCACGCCATGAAGGCGTATGGGGGAGTGGATATATAGATCCACATTTTCCTGATCTCGACACTAGTTGGAGGTGAGTGGTCAGCTTCACGCCCCTTCCGCTTTACCCCAGGGGAAGATCCCCCGGTACTCATTGGACAGGAAGCTGGGCGGGTCCCAGAGCCGGTCTGGACGACATGGAGAAGAGAAAATTCTTGACCCTACGGTCCCCAAGGGGCCACAAGAAAGAACACCAAGAGTGAAAAGCATTTTCTCTCACAAGGAAAGGAGCGAGATTTGGGGTGTTTCAGAACAAAAGTTAAGGCGGAGGAAGGAACAAGAATCTGGGAAAAACTGCGAAATGAGGAGCTTCATATTGCGTACTCCTAATCGAATATCATTGCAACCGGGATCACCCGGTCGATGTATCGAGTAGAATAAGAACCGGACTCTCACGTGATTTTAGTCGATTACCGGTAAGGTCACGAGAACTTTCTCTTCCCTACAGCGCCCAGACCACCCCAACCCGTCTAGCCTCCACCGTAGTGAGCACAGGGAGCGCTTTTCCCGAAACTGAAGCTAGCAGCTCCTGAAACACGGAGGGTAAGAATGCTTGGAGCTATATCTCCACTTTCTCATATGTATGTATGTCTTTATGGTGTGGTGCTCAGTTACGCATAGGGGTAACTTTACTTTCATTAGGCCGCGCCATAGCTCAAGCGGTTAGTCGCTGGCTTCCCACTGCGGCGGTTCGGGTTCGATCCCGAGTCTCGTCAAGTGGGATTTGTGGTGGAAAAAGTGGCGCTGCGGTGGGTTTTCTCCGAGTACTTCGGTTTCCCCTGACAATCTTCATTCCTCCAAATTCTCCATCATCATAATCACCCGGGGCAGGCTACAATAGGCCAATCAGTGGCCGCTGTGCCACGTGGACCCAGTTGGACTCCACCCCCCCCCCCCACTAAGTGAATTAAAAAAATTAACTTTACTTTCAACGTCAAATATTTTTTTTTTCATTCATTCATTAGTGGTTCTACAGCCCTTTGTTGGGCCCGGGCCTCTTCTTCAGTTCCGTAATCTTGTTTTACACAGACGGTAGGACTCCTTGGCCGAGTGATCAGCTCGTCGCAAGGCCGCTACCTACACACGGGACAACACAAACACAATAAACGTACACAGACATCCATGCCTTGAATGGGATTCGAACCCAAGATCCCAGCGTTCAAGCCAGCGAAGACGGTGTCAAATGCTATTAGGAAGATCAAATTAAGGGGGATGATGCTGGTGGGATACGAAGCGTGCATGGGGATTGAAATGTGGGCACATAAGTTTAGCTGGAAAACTTAAAGTAAATAGACCGCTTTGGGGAGGAGGGGAGGTTGTGAACTGAATTGAATTTGCCCACGATGGAGTCTGACTATAGACACACTAAGGAACCTTTAGATATCATAAAATATTCGGGGTTACTTGAATAGATTAGCCACTATCAGCTTCTCAAGGAGAGTCTGCTCCATCGAGTTAAATATTAGCATTATTATATCTTTCATGTGCATTTTACTTCTCTCCTTACAGAAGAAGAAATTGGAACAAAATAAGATGGAGGAAGGTGTTCAAGCCGTTTGGTATGCAGTACTATTACCTGACTCTGACAGTAGGCTCCCATAACCCGAAATTTCAACGCAGCTAATACCAAAACGCGTCACCTAGCGCCCCTTCAGTCTATACCACCTGCATTAATCCTTCCCAGTAGTTCATACGTGCTTTGCACAAGTCGAGACAATAACTGCATCACGGGAATGGCATGTTTGCAGGTCATAAGATTCGGCTTCCGAAAATAGGCATCGGATTTATATAAGTTTGATATTCGAGTTTATGACAAGTTTCGGGCGAAATTCATTTTGATGCTAATCACTTCAGCATAAATCCTACTACACCATGAATTTCATATCGAAAATTTTCAACTGTCTCCTAACTAACTCGTCATATAGAAATTCCACGTGTCTATATTCATTGGAAATATTTTTGATAGAGCGATGGCGGATATATACACGGTGTGTCCAAGATCCGTTAGGACTATGTTGGCAAGTTGTGGCGTTGAGATTCTTGAAGTTCCAGCTGTGGCTGTCTATAATTTCGAAGCGCAAGCATCGCTGCATCATGTGTTCTGACCTTGAACGTAACAGTACTGTTCTGACGCTCGTCGGAAAATGGCGGTTGAACAGAGAGCCAACATCAAATTTTGTTTGAAGCTAGAC